CCCTAAGTAACTTTTAAAAAACATTTTCTTTTTTAAAAATACTTCCTAATTGTATCTGAGTTTGAAAGCAGAATCCTCATCAGTGGGGATACAGTGCTCTATTTTGCAAAAATAGCATTTCATGCCAAATTTTAGTTCTCTCAAAAATTCCCTTACTGGTGTTAGTGGTGGGTTCTCAAAAACTAGAGCATGTGCTCAGCCTTGCTGCCAAAAATGGCTCTTTGTGGCAGGGATTTGTTCCCATGCTCAGGCAGCAGCAGTCACTGTGCGCTCCATGAGCTTTACACCCCTTAGTAACTTGGGAAGGCAGTGCCTTCCCTGGTGCTGAAACTAGTTCTGTTTTTGTTTCTTGTAATTTCAGTTTATGAATACTGATGTCTGTAGCTGTCCCATTTGTCTCACTGCTTTGACTGTCTCGGTAAAAGATTTTTTTTTTCCTTTTGGGCTTAAGTGCCACCTGAAGAGAGAAGCCTTTTAAGGCCTGGGAGACTGGGCAGTGCCCTTTGTCCCTCTGTTCACCTACTAAAAGGTAGCATTGTTAACCTAATTCAGCAGGGCCCTGACTCCATATAAACACTACTCAATAGAGCCAGAAAGACTAATTGAATTGTACAATACATCATTTTTTCGCAACAGTTTCAAGTGGATGGTACTTCATCTCCCTGAACACCATCAGTTTTTTCCTCATTTTAAGATATTTAAATATAGCAAATATTTAAACATCATAAATAAAATATTTAAACCCAATTCTGTCTTTTCCCACTTAACTGTGAGCTACCTAAGGCAGGGCTCTGCCTGTTTTATCCTCCTCTGACTGCATAAAGCCTACTACAGTAGCAGACATGCTCCTTTGTCTATACTCCTGGAAAATAGGAGTGAGGATTGTTTATTTAGTCCTATCACTTTTGAATAACTGTTATTTCCAATCTTATTAAATATTGAAGGTTTTGGCTAAAACAGGTGCCTCTTTGTGACCTGGGTTTGCAGACTGCAGGCTTCTCGAAGTCTGTAACTCTAACTCTGCCAGAAGCCACAGGATCATACAATGTAACAGCTACCTCAAAATTAATTGTTTATAAGGAAAAAAAAGACTTGTTTTTTTAATGATGTAATTTTGCATTGCTATAAGGAACATAAACTTTAGTATGAACTTTACTAAGTTAGGAAAATGATACTATTGAATTTCATATATATGTATAAGAAATTTGTATTTTTAATCAACACACAATAGCTATACATCTAATTATCCCATGTCCATATTGAGGGGGTTTTCTGTTTGTGTCTGCTGGTTACACTCTCCTCTGCCCCACCGTTGTCCACCAAGTGAATTTGTATTTATCTTCTAAACCCAGATCCAGTATCACTTGCTTGGCCTTTCCTGGCTCCTAGCCCTCTGCTGACCATAAAGTTGATTTCTTCCTCCCTTAAAGCTACAAGCAGGCCTCATCCATAACTCTTTTACAGCAGATGACAAGTTACATGCCAGAAGTTACACGCAGTTTTTGGTTTGTTTGTTTATTTCAGAGATAAGGCCTCATTCTGTTGCCCGGGCGCTGCCCGGGCTGAAGTGATCTCCTTGGCTCAAGTGATCCTTCTGCCTCAGCCTTCCAAGTAGCTGAAACTATAGGTGTGCACCACCATACCCAGTTAATTTTTAAAAAAACATTTTTTGTAGAGACAGGGGTCTCACTGTGTTGCCCACACTAGTCTTAAACTCCTGGCCTAACACAGTCCTTCCGCAGTACAGAGAGGCCCTGTGTACCTTTCACCCAGTTTCCTTCATCGGTGACATCTTAGTAACTACAGTACAATGTACATATTTTAAGAACCGCAGGAAATGGACATTGACATAACAAGTCAATATAAGTCTGTGTCATTAGCTGAGTTTCTAAATATAAGAGAAGGAAGCCAAAATTCATGTTTCATTCAACTATGGGCTTTTCATATGGCTTTGTTCAGAAATTAATGTTACTCTGATATTGAGCTATGCATCCGACTTTGAGCAGCTGTGGAAAGCTGGGTGATTCGGCAGAACTGACTGACGAAGCTTGTCTTGTAGGTGTCTAAGCAGGCCAAAGAGTTTCTGGAGTACGTGTACGAGGAGCCCCTGATCGACATCCAGCAGGAGAACCCCATGCTGTACCAGCACGCCGAGCCCCTGGCTGCCGTGGTGCGGCTGCGGCAGCGGCTGAAATCGCTCCGAGCCTATTTATTCAGCTGCCGGGCCGCGGTGGCCGAGGATCTGCGCCGCAGGTAAGAGTCATAAAAGTCAGACGGCTCCAGTTTGTTTTTCTTTCCTGCCCTGGGAGGGTGGTTAGATGATCTCCAACGGCCTTTCCAACCCTGACCTCCTCTGATTCTGCCATTCTCCCTGTGCCTTCCCACCGCTGGCCTCTCCCTGGGCTCCTGTTAGACTTTTTCCCACAAGGTCTTCTATTTGATTGGGCGGAGCCAAATGAAAATAAGGTCTCAGTGTATCTAAAGGCTTCGAACTGTCAAGTGAGTGCCCAGGAAGGGGAAGATTTCTCTTGCCAACGTGTTAATTTAAGATAATAATCACGAGAGTGTCTTCATTGGTTACTTATGCAGTGTTTTATACTTTTGCCAATTTTAACTTCTGTTTATTATCAGGAAAAATAAGCAGGTTTGAAATATTTCATAACTAAAAAACATTTCCAAGGAGAAGTAGGTAGGTGGTTATTCAGATCTTACATTCCATACGAAAAAGAAACACCCAAACTCGTAAATGATGTCGGCAGTAGAGCTGGGATTAAAATAGGCCCAGGATTGTACCTTTTCGTTTTACTGTCGGTGCCGTCTGCTTTCTGATAGCTTAGCGAGCTCAGAGTTCATGGAACACACAAGTCCAAACCAGACTCAGACCTTCAAAATAAAATCAAAGTTAAAATGTACTTGCTCTCATAAAATTCCTCCGTTTACAGTTAGGGTTTATGGGCATTTAAAGTCTTACCATTGGCATATACGAACTAGCTTATACTTGAAATGATTGTTGATGGTGTTCCTAAGTCCCTAAAAATACCTTTTTATTTTTTTCATAGAAATGACCAGCAGCATACATTAGTCATGTTAAATGTTTTCGGAGGTAAGCTTACCTGCATAAGAACCTTTGGAAAGTATTAAAGTGGTGGAGTTTGCAAATTGATATCCAATTAGATCCAAAGACACTAATGCAACTCCAGGCATCTGAAGAAGACATTTTTAAAAGAACCAAATGTGGATAGTGAGGGATACATAATTATCTAGACAGGCTCTCATAAAATAATAATGAAAAGGCCGCAGCACTTGTGGTTCAAAGGAGTAGGGCGCCAGCCCCATATGCCGGAGGTGGCAGGTTCAAATCCAGCCCCAGCCAAAAACTACAAAAAAAAAAAAAAAAGTAATAATAAAATAATGAAAAGGCAGCTGCCATAAAGTAAAATACTTCTCAGTGGTAGTCATTCTACCACCAGAAAGTGGTTAGGATTTATTCTTATACATTTTTGGTAGATTATAATTTTAAAAGATCAGGACCTTCATTGGAAGACAATAGAATTATATGTCTCAAACAAGTTTACCAACTAAACTAGATATAGGTTTTTGGTGTTCAAAGTATGTTCATTCCATTATTTTCAGTACCTTTTGGCTTTGCTCAAAGCTTGTTTTTCTTGTGCCTGTAATTTTAGATGATTTTAATATCTACACATGGGAATCATGTCAGATACCTTTGTGGTATGATGTTTTGCTTTGGGTAAAATATGCCAAATCAGGGCACATATTTAGAAATTAAATATGAGGTCTTCTTCTCATATGGATGACTAAGAATCCCTCCTCTACTCCAGCAGTCTGGTGGTTTACCACCATGTACTGCGCCTTATGGCCAGACCACCAGGAAAAATAAGGAAGTTCTACAAAGAAGATACTCCCAAAGCCACGAGATGAAGCCAGTAGTCTTTTTGCTTCCTTTCATTTTTCTTTCCTGAACTTATGCATGGCCATTATATAATGCAATGGTTGGCACAGGTAGGTGTTCAATTAAGAACTGAATGCATAGATCGAGAAATGGAAGGAGGGCGGGCGGGATGTATGTTAGTTGTCACTTTAGACCACTGAGTAACAGCTAACTGCCCAATTGGGAGGAGGCGTCATCTTCAAATTCTTCTTCTTAATTTCCTAATTGTAACTTAGCATAGTGTCTCATCCATTTAAAGCTGTCAAAAATAGTTGTTGAATAAAGAAACGAATGAAAGAGCAAATCAAATCAGTCAAAAAAAATGTAGTCTATTCTGTTGCTGAGAGAGCTCTCAGAGTTTTCCTTTTCACTTCCAATGCACCACCTTCTTCAGAATCTCTGGACTATGGCAACGTCCTTTTAACTAGTCTGCCTAACATTAGTTTCTTCCGTCTCTGGTCTAACTTTTGCACTAGACAGATTATTAAAGGACAAGTATGGAATTCAAGATCTGTCCAAATCTAGCCCGGTATATTGTTCTACTCTCTCAAATGTCCTGCAATTCAGACAAAAATTATTAACTCTTCCCTCAGTGTATTCTGTTGTGAGTGTTAAATGAGTCTGTGTAACTGAAGTATTTAAAATAGTGCTTATACATAGGAAGTACTCGTAAATGCTAGTATTGTTATTAATATTGCTTTCTTATCCTAGACTCTTCTTATATCTTGCTTTAAGTCTTTTTAATATAATACTTGACTTAAAAGTCAACCCCTGATGTCCTTTCTGCTAGAATTAATCCCCTTTTCCTGCTACTGTGTCAGGAGAAGAGTGAGCAAGGGGGAATGGGTAGCAAAGCCAGCCGGCCTGAGGCTGCAGTTCCTAAGTATACAATGCATACTTATCTGTGTAGTTGTTTCATAAATTAGGTAGAGAAGAGACGCCTTGAGAGCAAACAGTGTAACATTGGTTCCTACAGAAACTTAAAGGAGGCACATTGATTTCTTTTTAAATTTTGTTATTTTAAATTTTCTATACTTATAGACTTATTAAGACAATATTTTAGATGACTAGTTCTCTCCAACGTGGGTGACGAAAGGAATGCCAACGATAAGCAGTACTCTTACAACTCTGGGGGGGTTACAGGTAAAAGGGGCGCTGGTCTTCTTGTATTATTTTAAATCTTTTTGATTTATTTTGAAATGTAACAATTTAGTGAAATAATCTCTAAGATATTCTGGGGGTGTCCATACCCCCTGGAGCCAGATGACTTACTATCAACTTTCCCTTCTTCAGTGTTGATGAAAATAACCATAAATGGCTCGGCGCCTATAGCTCAACCGGCTAAGGCGCCAGCCACATACACCTAAGGTGGTGGGTTCGAATCCAGCCCGGACCCGCCAAACAACAATGACGGCTGCAACCAAAAAATAGCCGGGCGTTGTGGTGAGCGCCTGTGGTCCCAGCTACTTGGGAGGTGGAGACAGGAGACTCGCTAGAGCCCAGGAGTTGGAGGTTGCTGTGAGCTGTAATGCCAGGACACTCTGCCCAGGGGGACAGCTTGAGGCTCTGTCTCAAAAAAAAAAAAAGAAAATAACCATAAATGCAAAGCAGAACCGTTGTTCACCTATTATGTTAAAATTCCTGTTACTTTTATATGGAATCTGACTTCTTAAAAACAAAATTAGCCAACAATACCGTTAGAGGTGATAAGTTTCTCCAAAATCAATATTTAAGGTTCCTTTTGTTCTGCCTGAGGATATAGCATCTAGAATGGGTGCAGTTTAAGCTATGGGGGACCGTGCTGGGCACAACTAATCTCACGTATCCCGGAGAGAAATCACAAGAGGGAGGAGTTGGTGGGTAGTAGGGGAGCAACAACAACAATAACAACAACAACAAAAATGCAGGAGAATTCAGTTCTTATCTAGTCCTGAAGGCATTCTCTCCCTGCCTGGTTTCACCTCTGTATAAGAATGGCCATTAATCTCCAGCACTAGGCCCAGCATGCTGAAGGCCTGTCAGCACCGTATAAACAGAATAAAGCAAACTGTTAATATCGCTGTCCTGAGAAGACTGAAAACGGACTGATTAATCATATTGGCACTCCACCGCCAGGGAGCCGGCTTTGGCTGTCGCCTTATTAGGGAAGTCGCAGTTGGCTTTTAGGCCTTTCATTATGATGACCGTCCGGTTTTCATCCTCACTGTTTTTGTTATTGTTGTTAAATGAACGCCTTGTTCTTGAACCCATACCGCAAATCTTGACTGGCAGGGGTGATTAGTTTGGAAAAAGTCAGTGTCCTCCCTGAAGCCTAAAATGTTTACAGTGCTGACAATTCACTGTTTCTGAAGACTCCCAGATGGTGGCCCTGCTGAATGAGTTCAAGGCCTAGTTAACTTTTCATGAGATGGATTGTTTACAGTGCCCACACATGAACGTGCATGAAGAACTCCATGGAAAATCTTGGCACACATCTGGCTCAGCAGCCATCAGGGTAGTCTTTGGGAGGGCTTTCAGAAAAGCTGGAAAGGTCCTCAGCCCTCTCTGTGTCCTGTGAACTACAGGAACAGTAGGATGTATGTAGAGCAGAGGTCACAGGCAGACTCCTTAAGGCCACATTTGGCTAGCAGACGTGTTTTATTTGGCCTTATAGGGGTGGTCCCCACCGGGTTTTGAAATTGTGAAATATCTGCCAACGTTTAAATCATCAGGAGTTTTCATACACCCAGAAAATGAAGCTTTTGGGTTTCTCTTTCTCATTGTGAGTACACTGGCTTCCCTCTTTCTTGTGTAGTAGTGGTGACCCGCTGTCAGTGCCCAGCTTTCTACCACGTCATAGCTGCTGCTGCTGCTCCTATTTCTGTCCTTAAACCTAATGTCACTTGGGATTTGACACACTGCTGCCCTGTCTTTCTTACTCCCAGCCCATTTGATTTATTGATGGTGGTGCCGGGACCTATAAGCATTTGAGTTTTCCCCCAGATATTTGTAATTCAGTATTAAGAACAGGGTTTGCTGATGTCTCACATACCAGATCCATAACTCTTATTTCAGTTGGGAATTCATCCCAAAAGGTGGCAAAAATCTTAGATTTAGTTATCTTAAAAGGCAACCAATAGCTTATAGGACTAGAAAAATAACACCAGGTCCACTTTGAAGTTCTGAAAAAGACAGGTTGTGTTATCCCAGAGCTTGGGCTAGTCCATTACAACCTGCCTCACAGGCAGAGGTGGGGAGTGACCCAAGGGATTATTACCTGCAGCAACGCCCTGAGGTGATTCCTGGTCACCACACCACTAAAGAT